TGTATACCAGTGAGGGTGACAGTGTTCCATGTAAGTGCAATTTGTTACCATTCATTTAAAGTAGAACTCATGTGAATGATATCTGATTTTTATTCCACAACGAATGTTTGAAATACAAACTGAGTAGAAAAAAGAATCTTCTGTATAATTCAGTGTTCATATAGAAGTATTTGTTTCGAAAGAATTTTTTCTTTTGTATAATTCAATGTTTATATGAAAAAAGCTGTTTCAGGAGGACTTTCTTTCAATTTGTGTCTGAAAATTACTTCTTTGCATGATCTACACATCCATGTATAGAGTTACTTCCTTCCTTTCTTTTTTTTATCAAAATGGAGTAGTAGAAAGCCAAAAACTTTCTTTCCCAAACAATACTCTTCTTTCTCTTCCAATTCTCATGAAATTTTTCACCCACCACCTTCTGTAGTAGTACCCAAAACGATTCCAATCAGCACTTTGTTAGAATAGTGATGGATATTTGACTCAATTCAACAAATAAACTGTCGAAAATACTGGACACGTTACCTCTTGATTTTTCACGTTTGTACGGCTGCAAAATTGGGACTAAGTGCGCAGCTGCACCATGACACATACAACTATAGCCAGTACAAGTATTAAATCGCGATGGGATGCTCCTTAACCCGATGGCCCTTTCTATGGGAATGGTTTGAGTTGGTGGTACAAAATTTAAAGTCAGATTTGAAAAAATGCCTAGTTCGTAGTCGGAATTTCACGTTCCGCATGAGGAGAGTATTAAGTTAGTTACATCGTTCAAATTTCGTTGGAAGACATACATTCAGTTCACATATGAGCGCAGTAAATCACATAGCTCAATTAGCCCCCGTCCATCAAACATGAAACCGCGAAATGCAACCCTCCCTTCGACTTTCCATTTCCTCCATTCCACCCGTTCGAATCCCAGAAATGGCCGGACCGCAACGGCTTGACCATAATTACCGGCTTATTTGTTTCCATTTGCTCTAGTCAAGGTTTTCCGGAGCCGTAAAAGATATGCTGTGCGTGAATTAGCAGAAGGTGGCGCCAACTACACCTGTCCGACTTGTTCGTAGGCATTAATTAAAGCCGTGGAATGTTGTATTGCAATGGCGTTCCATCCATAGTATTCAGGGTAAACATAGTCTTCACCAAAGTTAGAATGACCATGTCAATATTTGGTATTATGTTGTTTCAAAAGTTTTGTCTGTTTTGAAGTCACGTCTTTTTGATGAATATTTATTCCACTGATCAATAGAGAATTTTGTACTCCATACATAAATAGTTTCAATTTTTATACAAACTCTAATTTTTTGCCTCTTTTCAGGTCATTATTATACAGTACATTTCTTTAATGTCCCCCATTTTATTTTTTGAACGGGACAACTCAGAATACTGAAATTTAGTAGTACTAATGAACACTTCATTTTGAAGTGAAATTGGCATATGAAAGATGGAGAATGCAAAGGGGGGTCTTGTGGCACATCTTTTGGAAGCTACCAACGAATACTTCACAACCCTAGAATATGAAGTTAATATCTTCACCTACTACAAAATGGTGGAATATTTAATAATTTGCTGAAGACAAACACATTAATATCGATATTTCTAGTAATATTCCTTTTCATCTGCCATATGACAATTCCAACATGTTATTTTTTGTTTATAAAAACGACAAAAAATGTCAGTACGACAATGAACATCATTCTTCAGTTAGAATATTCTCATTTAGTTTTTAGA